TTTACTACTCTCGCGAACTCCAAAGGTGGCCTGTCAACTACAAGTATGATGAGATGAATTATTGCATCATACGAAAGAGCTCAGCGAGTAATCGATGATAACAAAACTTAGAAAACGTTTTCTTTTACACTCACTCAATCATCCGAACCTAAAGAGAAAATAGTTAGACGATGAAATATCAAGGACAATTATGTTCGTTCAATCACACCCACTGAGTAATGATAGAAATCAGTTTACCCCAATTATCGATGCTTATCCGAAAGAAATATAAGAAGGATGTGGCAAATGAAGAGTTCGTGTTGTTGAAGCTGTCTAAAGAGCAAATTGTGTTCTGCTCGATTATCATAATGGTTTATTCGCTTTCATTTCTTTTCTTCTCTCGATGTACACATTGATTTTGTTTGTATGACCTCGCTTAATTCATTGTCACCTACATTCTACCAAATCAAGGCATAAATGAAGCAAATACTAATAAATATATCGAAAGTATATATCTGTACAAATAGACCGTTAAATTAGTTCTCATGTATCTTCTCGTTGAAGTTCTCCGATTAGGATATTACACAATTTTGCTTTTGTTTCTTTAAATATTCATCTATTTGCATAATTGACGTATGCGGGAGATAGCGAGAAGAGTATGAACGTGTCGATGTGATGATTTCTCAGTAATCATCAATAAAATATTATATTGGATAAATTATCTCTAATAAAGAGCAGAAGAGAGAAATGATTGCCACATGTTACACAAGATGTGTAATAAAGAGACTTGAGATAAAGTTCAGTTTTCTCAAGAGAACATTTAAGTTATTTGATTGCGAAGAAAAAAGGTTGTCATGATTGATTGATTGATTTGTCTTTTTTTTAGAGAGTTACAATTCAATAATTTATCAATCATCCGTAAAGATGATCTCAAATCGCTTCGACAACTACGCATTCTGTAAGTATGATTAATGATAGAAAAAACATGAAATTGTTTTTGAAGAGTTTCATTCTTCGTCTTCGTTTTTCAAACAAAATGGATGTTCTCATATTGACAAGGTGAAGAGTTCTTCTTCCTCTTCCGACGTTCGTACAATGGCAAGGTCAAGTAGACACATAAGCAGGAGAACAAGAGAATAAGCACATATATATATATATATATATGAAAATTATACATTCAATAAACTTTTCTATCGAGATCTCAAGCTGAAAGAATACAAATAAGAGAATATCAACTCTAATGACCTTCTTGAAAGGATTACTTTCTTGACCATTGAGAAAAATCATGACTTTTATTAATCGGATATTCATATCTTGAATAATTATTCTAATACATACATGTAAAACAATGAAAATGTCGAAAGATTAGAGAATATGTTCAAGTTCAAGACATACATGCACTTCAAAGACATGAAGACGTGATGATAACAAGTATCGAGGTCACATTGATGTGTAGTCTATTTTTTATCTGGAGAAAAGCTTGAGAGCTTGACAGTTTGGTGTAAACATTTTCGGCTGATTTATATATTTGATTTGGTTTCTCTTTAGAAATCTTCAAGACAATCAACTCCATACGATCGACAGCGATGCATTTCGAGATCTGATATCCTTAGAAAAGCTGTAAGTCGACTTTTCTTTTCATGAGCTTGTAATATTGAACAATCAACATCTGTCTACTATGCGTCCCACTCTTGAAATTATAGTTATTTGTGACCGGTCGATAACTGTATTTAGAGAGTGAGAACATGCTCAATACTTGTTTCTCCTCCTTCTCTTTCGTATTTTTTTATGACCGACCATATCATTTGTCTGACTGCATACTGTTCGGTTCATTGCACAGACATATTGATAGAGACTAATTGAAATGAACAAATAATGTAACCTGCCTTCTTGTTGTTCTCTGCCTGCAGCCGTCTAATGACAGGCAATCAATATACTGTAGTACTTAGTAGTTGAGTAGATTTATGTAATATGAATGAACGAATGAGCGACTAAAATATAAGAATGGGATGATGATGATGACAAGAGTGATTGATAAATTGCTCGACAGATCGATGGAATATTGTATATTTATATTTTCCTTCTAGACGTCTTAACGGCAATAAATTAAATCACCTTACTGATGGCACGTTTGCCTCCCTTAAGCAACTCCAGCGATTGTATGCTAATGACGACAAAAAAAAACAGATTGATTTGTGTATTTTCTACATGTTTGTAGGGATCTTAGTTCTAATCGACTACGAGCGATTAAAAAAGAAACATTACAAGGTCTTCAAGAAATTGATAATCTGTAAGTGTAATACTTGTTCGTTTCAACCAGTCGCACTTCCGTTTTTCTTTTGTTTCGCATAGACAATTGGATCACAATGAGATCAGTTGTATCGAAGCAGAAGCTATCAATGGATTCAATCGTTTGGAGATTGTGTAAGTCATATCCGGAGATATTAGATGATTTTTACTATCAATGTAGTTGTCTAGATTTGCTAATAATAATACAGTTTTTTTAATGCTAATTAACTAGGATTTGCATGTCAGTGTGTTCTCTAGAAGATTTTTTGTTCTAGTACATTAAATTTCAACAATTTAACAACTCTACCTATTTTACCGCTTGCACGACTTATCGATTTAAGGGTTTTGTAAGTATTCGTTGAACAATCGTAACTTACATAATGCATGTGCATGAAAAATTTCTTGTATTCACTCTTTGATTTTGTAAAACTTCATCGATTTGTTTTCTTTAACATAGACGACTTCATGATAATCAATTTGTGTGTGATTGTCGTCTTCTCTGGCTTGCTAAATATCTCAAATTACATCCGTTTCTTGGCCTCAATGCTCGATGTCAAGACTCGAATACTCTCACTTCTAGAGACATAACATCGCTAATCGATGACGAAAAGCAATGCAATAGCATGGGTATGATTGAAATCAGAAGACATTAGAAATGATCATTCATGTGTGTGTTTTTCTCGTAAATAGATATCGATGATATCGATTATACATGCAATGTACCTGTATGCCCATATCCGTGTACATGTTTTAATGGTGTTGTTGATTGTAAAGATAAAGATCTTACTGAAATCCCGAGAAATATACCAGATACAACCATCGAATTGTAAGATGAAATTGTTTTTCTCGACTATTCGACGGAAATGTTGATTGCTATGTAGACGTTTGGAAAAGAATCAAATCACGGAAGTTCCACCGAAGATGTTCTCTCATTTAAAGAAACTTCGACGTTTGTAAGAAAGATTTCATCTGAACTTGCTATTTTACTCAAATTTTTACGTTTATTTTAGAGATATAAGTAATAATTTAATTGCAACGATCTATCCAGATTCATTTGCCGGTCTCAAATCCCTTAATTCACTGTACGTATCGTCTTTCATCTTCGATTGTCTTTCATCTTTCAAAAACACAAACAATGAGAACAAATCTTCTTTAGTATTCTCTATCGAAATAATCTCAAAATGTTACCATCTGAAGTGTTCAGTGAATTGAACTCTTTACAGCTTTTGTGAGTGATTGAGATTGATCGAGAAGTAAAGGCATGTTAGTTTATACTCACTAATGCATACATACACTTTTGTTCTGATACATGGTGACGGTGAAAAGCATCCTACCACGCATGAAGATTCATTTGTCATGCCGAGAAATGATTTGTTCAAATTTTTCTCTCTTCAACCTTTCACATACTCACTTGCATGATTTATATATTCTTATTTATTGGTTATGGATATAGTATACTTTCAAACAATCAGCTTGTGCATTTACCGTTTGGTGTATTTCATCATGAATTCACGCATCTGCAACTCTTGTGAGTATGCCTAGCTTAGAATGCTTGTTTTTTGTATGTAGCATTGATTTTCGAACGAGATTCGATTGTTGAGCGACGAATTGCATTGACATTTGCGTTCTCTATTTCGTATACAGATTACTTAATGCAAACAAAATAGTATGTGTACGCGGAGATACATTTCGTGGACTGGAAAAACTCAGTTTACTGTCATTATATGATAATCAATTGAAAACACTTTCGAACGAAACATTTTTACCTTTAAAAAGTATTCAAACATTGTAAGTTCGGTCATATCGTTTATATTTTGATGATGATATTGTTCTTCAAGACATTTGGCTCGTAATCCATTTATATGCGATTGTCATCTTCGTTGGTTAAATGCTTATTTACGCGAGAAACAAATCGAAACAAGCGGTGTTCGATGTGCCGGACCACGACGTATGGCAAAACGAAAATTCGGTGTCTTAAACGATCGAAGATTTCGTTGTCGAAGTTTGTCTTCTAACTTTCCTTCTTCATATTGATTACACCAAACAAATTCTTTAGATCGAATGGAATTCGAGCAAACCGCATATAGCGCTCAATGCGGTGTTCAGTGTCCTAAAGGTTGTACATGTGATGGAACAGCTGTTAGCTGTCGTGGACTACAATTACAAGAGATACCAAGCGATATACCACCATTCACTACAGCACTGTACGTGAAATTGTTTGAATTCGTTTTGATTGTATTGAAAAGTTGTGTTTCTAGCCATCTACAAGATAATTTAATCAAACGAGTCCCACGTGATGGCAGTTTTCGGCGGTTACGAAGTCTCCGTACACTGTATGTAATGGAAAATTTGGATTTTTACACGAGATTAATTGCTTATTTTTAGCGATTTACGTAACAATCGTTTGGAAGAAATCGATGATGATGCTTTCGATGGAGCTGAATCACTCAATGAATTGTAAGGAATCTATTTTTTGATGGTTTTCGAAACTACATACAAAATTCGTTGTCTTCTAGATATTTAAGCGACAATAACTTAAATTCAATAACATCGAATACTTTCAACGGTTTGAAAAATATTCAGACATTGATGCTACGTACGAATAAGTTAACGTATATTAAAAATGATACATTTGTGGATTTGGAGACATTGAAAACATTGTCATTGCATGATAATCGTATTAAATGCATTGCACCTGGATCATTCGATCGGTTACGATCGCTGTCAGCATTGTAAGATTAAATATACGAAAGAAATTCTGTGATTATAATTCATTTGCGCAGGGATCTTCTATCCAATCCATTCGTATGCAATTGTCATATGAAATGGTTGAAAGGCTGGTTAAAACAAAGTAATATCGTTACGGATTATCCAAAGTACGTATCATCACATCGTGACGGTCATATATAAGTGTCTTGATTATGTTTAGATGTATGTCACCAACCAAACTACGGAATATTGCAGTAAGTCTCATCTAAAAGTTGAAGCAGTTCACTTTCGTAATAATTTTCTTTTCGTTCAGATTGTCAATCTAACGGACGATGAGTTCGTTTGCAGTTGTAAGTCACTTTAAAACAAAATCTTGTTTTCATAGAAGAATGATAATCACCTTCTTATTTAGCTACTGAAGTCGACGCATGCGATGTATCTTATCCAAGTTCTTGTCCACAGAACTGCTCGTGCTACAATCGTGTTGTCCGTTGTTCACATGCTCAATTAACATCGATACCATATGAACAGATGCCCATCGATACTGAAGAATTGTACTTAGATGCCAATGATATTAAAGAAATTCCATTGGAATTGACTAATCGATTGATTTATTTGATCAGAATTGATCTGAGTTACAACAAATTACGTGTCATATCAGCCAATATATTTGCAAATTTGACACGATTGGAAACATTGATTCTTTCGTACAATAAAATTCGTTGTCTAGAATCTTCGTCGTTCAAAGGATTGAAAAACCTACGCATTTTGTACGTATTTGTGAAAAATTTTTTTTGTTAAAATGAAAACATTGTTGTAGGTCATTACATGGAAATGAGATTTCAACAATCCCAGAAGGTTCATTCAATGATCTGACATCGTTATCACATGTGTAAGTCAATGTGAATGACAGATTCTTTTTTTTATGACGCAGATTGATTTATTTTGTTAGTGCACTGGGTGGAAATCCTCTCTATTGTGATTGCCATCTCGGATGGTTATCATCCTGGATAAAAACTGATTACGTCGAACCAGGTAAGACTTTTCTCATTACAAAATCATGCGTTTATTGCATACATATCCTTGAACCATTAAAGTGATGATTAGATCATCCGTATCTTGGAATTAAACAGTCATTTTCATACTTCATGTTGAGTGCCTTAACAAATAACAAACTTGTGCATATAAGTAGTTGTGTAATCGCGTTTGATAGATAAGAAATCCGTTCGGTAATTGTTTTCGTAAAACTATATCTTCGTTAAATAGGCATTGCTCGATGCACTGGACCACCTCCGATGGCGAATAAACTTCTTCTTACGTCTCCGATATTTTTCTTTCAATGTCACAGTATGTCACTGATTATCGCTTTTCTGATTTGCTTACATCATTATGAAAAACAATCGTTTAGATGAAAGTGAATCTCGACTTCATCGAGGAAAATGCGATCCTTGTTTAGCGGAGGAGAATCGTTGTTTGAATAATGGATCATGTCGTGCATTATCAACCGAAAAGTTCGTATGTGATTGTTTACCAGCATTTCATGGCGATCGATGTGAGAAAGTCATCGACGCTTGTTTTGATAATCCATGCAAGTCGGATGGACGATGTCAAGCACTGCCCGATGGTCGATTCAAATGCCATTGTCCCGTTGGTTTTACTGGATATCGGTGTGAGATCAATATAGATGATTGCATATCCCATCGATGTCAAAATAATGCAACATGTATTGACAGAATCAATGATTATTCATGTGATTGTGCAGCATTGTTTACTGGTAAATAGAAAGAAGAAATTTTGAAAAAAAATACTATTGGAAGTTCTTCTAGGAAAATATTGCGAGATACGATTAAATTGGTGCGAAAGAGATTTAAATCCATGTCGAAATAATGGGCGATGCCTACGAACGAGTCATGGTTATAGGTAAGATGGCCATTAGCAATTAATCGATTTTTGATCATATAGTTTTCGATTTAGATGCGATTGTTTATCAGGTTGGGGTGGTATGAATTGCACGGATAATTTGAATGACTGTTCAAACCATGCATGTCAATTTGGTGTGTGCGTTGACGGTGTCAATGGTTACACTTGCAGATGTGACGTCGGATTTAGTGGTAAACATTGTGAGATAGCGCCCCAATCCAAGTCATTATTTCTAAACAATATCAATCAAACGAAAGCAACACGATGTACAGCGGATGTTTGTTCAAATAATGGCGTTTGCTATGAAGAATCAGTGAACAATCTTCGATGTCGTTGCTATCCAGGTTTTATCGGCGATCGGTGTGTTATGCTGAAAAGTGTTCATTCGATCACCAATGATTCATATATGAAATTACCTAAACCGAATGTTTATCCACGTTCGAATATTACTATTGTATTTAGCACAACACATAGTAGCGGAGTTCTCGTTTACTTCGGACATTTGGGACATATGGTTGCAGAGATTTTCATGGGAAGAATACGTGTTAGTTACGATGTCGGCAATTCACCAGGTTCGGTTATGTTTAGCTATGATACAGTCAATGATGGTAAGTTAATTCTGAAGAAGACCTTGTCTTTCTTTTGCAAACTGTACACTGTATGTTATTCTAGGTAAAATCCATGAACTACAATTGATTAGTGTAGGACAAAATTTTAGTTTAACTGTCGATCGAGGTTACACACGACACATTAATAATCGTGGTCAACGTGCCTATCTAAATACAAGCGAAATCCGTGCTTTGTACATCGCCGGTATACCAAATGATATGACCGCGCGAGCTCTACAATTATGGCATATTCGAGAGGCGACATCATTTCAAGGTATAAGAAAGAACATTTTTCAAAAGAAAAACAATTCTCATACTCGTTTCCTTTCAAAGGCTGCATTCATGCACTTTACGTCAATGATGATCCCGTCAATTTTGCGAACGTTGATTATCGTCATAAGATTTTGCCTGGCTGTGAAAATAATGACCACGATCAATCAACATGTACAACAGCCACATGTCTACATGGTCAATGCCGTTTAGAAAATTTCAATTATAAATGTGTTTGTCATAACGGATATACAGGTCCCACATGCAATCAACGTAAATGAACTTTTTTTTGTCTTTCTTTTTTATTAAGCAAAGTTTCTTTTGTAGCAATATCAACGTCAATGTCATTAAGATTCGCACATTCATGTGGCTTAAGTATTGAAACAGGATATTTTATTGATCCATTAACCAAATGTACAAGTAATCGACGTTTGCGCATGTCCAAATGTACAGGTATATGTTCATCATCAGCAAATGGTACACAATCTACATGTTGTAAACCAGTTGAACCTAAACGTCGATTCTTTCGAATGACATGTGCGAATGGTTTCACCTATCGACAGTCATTGGATTTCTTCAAACAATGTACTTGTTCGAGTACAGCGTGTTGAAGGCTAGATTTATATGTCAAAAAAAAACTCAGGTCTATTGTACATATAGAGCAAGAAAAATGGAAACAATAACAAAAAACATCGGACTCTTTGCTTCGTTTTCTTTTTTGTTTATGATCTTGTCGCTTATATGTGTGTTTATCGTATTTTCAGCTTTTTCCTCGTCACCCAGTTTGAATTCTTTTTTTTTCTTTTACTTGCTAATCCTTCTTTGGATATTTTTGTAAGTCAAGTATCTTTGTTCGCATTTGATCTTGTTAAAAATACGTCGTGCGTGGGGAGAGACGTTTCTTTGTCATCATTCATGTTCATATGTATTTTTTGAGAAGAGAATTCGCTTGATAAGATAAGGTTTAGACATTTTTGCGAACTAGTATTGATCTAAATTCATGAATTTATGAGAAAAAAAAATAAAATTCATTAAGCTTATATCAGCAGTATTGGAAATCGATTTTTTTACGAGAGCCTCACCATTTGATTACGAATACTGTTATTAAAAGGAAATGACTAAAAGCTTATAGATTGTACTTCGTCAAAGGATATAATATGTTCATTTAAGTTTTGTTTTTCAACGCTTTCATGGTGTCTTCCATCTCGGTATTTCTTCAGGACATTCAAATAGAATGGTTTAAAAAGTAACTTGTACGAGAGAAAGATAAGGCCAAATAATTCTAAACATACAGTTATGAATAATAGGTTTTGAAATACAATTTCCGATGGCTTGGCAATTGGTTGTTGTAAATTTTTCACGTAATATGGTGTTTCGGTAATCACCAATGTTAATGTTGTTAAAGTTAACGTTGAACGAATGAATTGATCCTCGGTAAAAAACAAACTATTGTAATCAACTGTGAATGTTGGAATGTAAATCCCACTGAAAATAGGATCTCCTCCGTCAATCGATAAGGTTTCATTGACCACTTTAGTTAACGAAAGTGCGACCGGTAGGTTTCTTGCAAGAATGTTTCCATTTTTATGAAACGATTTATAGAAATTTAGTTGTTTTAATGCGTAATTCTCGCTTGATTGCTCTTGTCCAAAAAGACCAACTCGTATCGCTCCTATCGTTCGAATATCTGCGATGTAGATCTGCACAGAAATATGTTGGTAAGGAAGTGGAATCGATAAAGTTAAAGTATAGTTTATATTGTCGCAATTTAACCATCGAACTGTCGACCAGGTAATCCCAAATAGGACTTCGATAGAAATCGCATCACATTTGATTATTGTATTGACGAAATCAACGTTGAGAATAAATTCTTGATTATTCAGTAAATCGAACATTTTTTGATCGGCATCGGTCAATGGAATAGCTAATGATTGAACACTCGTTTCGAATTTTGCATTTCGGATGGATAAGTCACAAGCAAAGTGAGAATCAGATGAGGTTTCGATGGGATATTGTTTGACATAATTTTGACTAAAGATGCAGGCGAATGTGACTAGAACAATAACAGAAAATGAAGCTAAACCACCGACCCATAGTTCACCTTCGCCAATCAGATCTGTGTGTCGAAAAATACATTTCAGTAATGAACGAACTCGTTCTCCACGAGGATCTTTAGTGAAAAATTTTAAAATACCCATTATAAGCATGACAAGAACTGCGAGACCGGCGACAACTAATGTCCAGAAGAGAGGCGAAATTCGTAGGCAACGATCAGATCCGATACTGAACATATTTTGAATGAGAATTTCATCAAAAATGACACTTTCCGGTGACTTGGGATATGGAATTGCTTGATTCACAGTCTGCAGCGCTGTTTGTGGTACTTCATTGGCGGATGCAAGCGGGCAAAATGTATTTGGTGAACATGGGATACAGAATGTTGAAAAATTTCCTGGATTTCTCGTACCGGCTGGACAAAGAGCACAATCGTGGACACCGGATTGATTTTTATATGTTCCAGGTAAACATGGCTGTGCCGTAGTCACTAATGGAATGGTACCTGTGTCTTGTATCGTTAAATAGAAGCCTGGTAGTGTAGGAAGAAATATGATAATACGTCCTCGATTATCGAGTAAAGCCAAGGATGATGGCGATGAGACAATATTTAGAAACACCGGACCGATAGTTGACGGTAGTTTTTGATGGTTATTTGGGAATACTGAAAGCGGAGTACTATTTGAATTGTAACCATTTAATTGAATACCATATATATGAACTTGCGATGTTGTCCAGACATAATCTAATGTATAAACATTGACTATTAATGCAGCAATGCCATTTTGTAACCAAGCAATACTCTTTCCATTGCCCAATGTTCGTCCATTTGTATGTCGACTGACAAAATTCAATTTCGTCGACTTAGTGAGATTAACTGAGAATAAAAATACACGGTTGATAAACTGCATACCAACCAAAACATCTCCGTAGTCATTGATGCTCACTGACATGTCATATTTGGCAGAATAATAATTTGCATCAGCATTCGTTAACAGATCTTGCCATGTGCCCGGTGTTGCTACAGGTTTGTATTGATCGACTACGACTGGATAATTATTCGACGGATCGTAATTAATTAGATATATCATTGGACCATATTTAACGGTCGAATTTTGACCCTCGTTGATAAATCCCGAAATGACACCGAAACTCTGATGAATATCCACAGCATGAGGAATAAATGAAGTATCTGGCCATGTCAAACTTGCATTCCAAATATCAATTCTCGACGTATTTCGTGAATCAAATAGAAATATAAACTCATTCGAGAATCCATAAACATATCGCCCCGATGGTTCAACACCAAGTATAAGATATTCTTGATGTCCATAATTACGAATCAGTTGATAATGGTATACAAAACTTGTACTACATTTCAACGACGAGTTTCCATAAGAAGATTTGGTGATATTCGCTCGAGTATATATGACCGTGCCAACAATGATTCCACTGTGATTATTTGTAAATTCACCGGCGAAATAGAACTGAGTGCGATTTTTAGGTTGACTTTTGCCAGCAACAACTGTGTATATGAAACTGTTTGTCAGATTTACGTGAGAAGTAGTACACTGAAGTGGCGTTTGCGTGTCGTTATAAGGAGCAAACTGTATGAGAAAAGTAGGAGGATCATTTTTATTTTGAGCTAGAACAAGAAAGTCTTCATTCATTGCTATTTTAACACCGTAGGCATCATAATCAGTTCGATCAGGATTGAAAGCACCATTGGCATGGAGTTTTGCCAAGATAACAATCAAAGTTAAAGCAGCGTAAAGTGATTTATTCATTTAGTTGTTCCAGAATTTAGACAGTTGTTATTCATGTTGACATAAGTCTGTATCCCTCTTACATATAATATTTTTTGCCAAAAATGACAAGAGAATCCTTACTTATATTCAACAAATGAATGTAGATCCAAAAATCTCATGTCGTATCAACAGACAAACATCTGTTCCACGAAAAAGATCAATCAATGTTTTATTTACATTTTTATACATTCTTATACAATCAACCAGCGAAAATAAAATGCCTAATGAGAAAATCATTTCGTCATTATACACCGTTTAGTTTCTCTTGATTAGTGAATAAAGTACGGTTTGCAATGTTAAATAGTCTTGTTGAAGTCTATTCAAGAAACAATTTCTTTTTGCTAATGATCAATATCCGAAGTCAATTGTAAAGTACTGATGATAAACTGATATAGTCTTTGTATGAAATGTTCGCTGAAGTCAAATATGTTGTAAACAAGATCGAAATAGGGAAAAATTTGATTTGTGCTATATAACATCGTTGCATTGATTGTTCTCGATTAATTAGTGAAATTGATTTTCTGAATGTTTACAAAAAAGCGACTGATGTTGACACGAAGGTTCGTTTGAGTGAACGATATTTACTTTGGCTTATCATGCCTGCATCGACTGCTTTGCCTAATGAAATTCTCAATTTTTGTAACGTTTACCAGTGAAAGACAAATATTTTCAACTATGTTAGTTTTTCGTTAAGGTAATAAAGTAAATGACTTTATAAAAAAAAAACTTTCTCACAATCTTTTCAGCGGTATTGACTGTGTAACGTGTTTTCGTATAAAACAGTTTTAAATATCAATAGTTTCTTTCTTTGGAAAGCTCGATAATAGGTGTTTGCACATATATGGTGAGTAAAACGTATCCGAGTACCATTTTATACGAAAGTGGTTTCAAGAGATTGTTGGCATTAGAATACTGAATGTAGCAAATTCGGACAAGATCGGTCATTAATTAGGGTAATCGGTTCGAAGCTGTCGTTTGTAAGATGCAGCCAACACAAAAAATTCTATTTATGCCAAGTGAGTCTTTATCGAACATTGTTATGTTTCACACGAGCTTTTCAAATAGCATATATTCTCAATTATTATTGTAGAATAAAAAACATTCTAAACAGATTTTGGCAGGTATCAAACAGAAATGGATGAAAGCGTTTTTCACTATTTGATCTTACTTGTGATTACTCGACATGTATACTTCACAAAAATTTTGTTCTAGACGAACCAAGTTAATAACTCAATCAAATTATCGAATAATGCGCGGTCTGACGTATAATATCACAAGCATCCGTAATATCCTCAAGTTATTTCTATTCACTACACTCTCAATAATCACTCTTCGTCTTATTGGATCTGGCTATCGAATTGTTAACTCTCAAGAAAAAGAGACATCTTTAGAACTGTCTCCCCACGTCATCGTTGTCGATCCCGACGATTCAACTCTCAACAGAAACTTTACATGTATTACCACACAAGTATTAATGAATGTGTTTCAAACTAGTCTTTGTCTCCATTCAAAACATGACACAGTTAGTAAATCAGTTGCGGAGCGACGGGTTTGGGAAGAAAATGATGTTTCCCGACTACTAAACATTCTTATTCGTAATCCTGAAATGCAAATGATTGATATTGGAGCTAATATAGGTGGATTTACCATGTTTATAGCAGGTGCACTAGGACGTTTTACATTAGCGATTGAATGTTATCGGCCAAGTATTGAACGCATCGCACGTGCGGTGCAACTTCGAAACGCACAAAAAAATGTTGTTCTCGTTCAAAATGCTCTCTATTCAGATCCAGGCAAATATTTAACGATAACAACTGATGATCCGAGTGGTATAAGATTACAAGAGCGAACGACAGAGAAAGAGTCGAAAAATGAATTCGTTGTCAAAACGATCAAGTTCGATGATTTACTTCCGATACTGATTCAACGAAAAGTGAAAACAGCCATGATTAAAATCGATATCGAAACATCAGAAAGTTATATATGTGCCACAGGTGCAAAAATATTCGATCAGATTAATATTCCGTATATTATGATGGAATGGCATTCTTGGCGCGTTAAACATCAGCAACGATATCAGTACATAGTGGATTTTATGACTGCTCGAGGCTATATTCCTGTTGATGCGAGTTGTAAAGAACTTAATCCAAATGATTGGCTCAATCTATCATGGCCAGGCAATATTTTTTGGATTAAAAAGTCATATCCTAGAAATCTTCTTTGTTGACGATTTAGAATTGTACTTGGCACGCAGAGATTATATATTTAAAAGGGTCTTTTTTATTGTGAATAAAAGTCAATAGAAACGAATCAGTCAATCGTGCACCTTGTTTATCAATAGTGTATGATGGATGGAACAATGAATACAGCTATTTCATACAACATATTTGCAAACCAGTGAATTCCTTCACCTCCTTCCGATCCCTTCCACGACATTCCGAATAAACGATACCACCATCGCATCGGTGCCACTGCACCATGAGCAACATGATGACTGTTGATTGTTGCATAACATGAACTGGCAATGTTGTTCACTATCAGTGTACCTTCTGCAGTCAGTGGAGCAACGTATCCCTGTTTCACAACATCTGTTATATTCGTGATTGTTTCACTCATCAGCACACCTTCATCATTCATGACATAGATGTTCATGCCAATGCGAAGATTCTTTGCCATGACATAGCTTTGTTCACTTGTTGGAAGAAGATGAGATGAAGTGAGTGATAGTTGTCGACCGGAGAGAGTTGTGAGCTGCTTGAACAAGGCTGAAAGAGATGAGCATGACTGAAAGATGAGGAATAGGAGAAAAGAAATGACCTACCGAATCGGTGTGGTTGGAAATCGAGCATGGTGAGGAGAGGTGTGTGGATGAGTTGTTTAGTTTTATCGTCGTAGGCGAGAAGAGTGTCGCCTGATTGTAGTTGTGTAATGAACTTGTGTTGTCCATTGGCCAGAGTGACAAGAGAGTCGGCAGCAAAGCAACGTTGATCTTTCAGTGTCGAGTCTGAAGGCGAAGTACGAAAATCGATTAGTTAGAGTATTTATTTGTGACAAACCTCGAATAGAACAGTTTGCACTGTTGCGATCTGGGCAACAATTCAGTGCCAAATGCCTAATTTCATTAAATGCGGCAATGCCTAGCTATAAAATGAAAATGTTCAATTCATAATCATATCTGCCAAAGAAATTTTCAACTTGGCAAACCTGCTGTCCAACACATTCTGAGAGATGACCTTGAGCACACTGTGCTATCAACGAAGTGGATCGACATACTCTACTGATATCTAAAACGGCACAGGTTTGTCGCTTCTACACAAATTTCTGTTCAAACCGTTCTTGGCGAATCCGAGCAGCATGGTGCTCAGATGAGATAAGCATTCAATTAATTCCAACGGATCATCTGTAAGATCGCATCTAGCATTGATCATGGAAACAAGAGAACCAACGATAAGTAGAATTTTGAATAACATCTATGTCAATGTATGCCACCCATTCATGCAAAATATTTTATGTTGTATTAGTTAACTCACCGTAGTAAATCGGAGCAGTCAGATGACGAGGAAAACGACTTTGCACACAACAAGACCTGAAAGAAAATGAATATATAAATGTTGTTCGCCTTTCCTTTATCATGTCGCTTATTGGTGATAAAATCGGGCTGAAATTACAAACCGTTTTCTCAAGTGGACAAGTCAAAGAATTTCATCTCTAGATGTTTTTATTTCGTTAAATTCAAAATTAATACGTGACAATTCCGAAAACTTTGCCTATCTGGTAAAAAACGCGCTTCTGTTATTTTATGACATATGATACCGGAATTCTCTGTGTGCAAGTCAAATGTACACAACTGAATCATAAAATGTATTTCCTCTGATACAGACTAGAACAAACGTACAACAGACCTGTCACCACAATAAAGCAATATATTCCTCACTGTATAAGCAAATTTCATTAGTTTCGTTACGTTCTTTAAATAAATTAGTCATCAAGTATCAGTTCGTATCAATGTTTATAGAGGCAAAATACAAAATGAAAAAAAGAAAAAGGAATGTTCATCAATAGTGTATGATGGATGGAACAATGAATACAGCTATTTCATACAGCATATTTGCAAACCAGTGAATTCCTTCTCCTCCTTCCGATCCCTTCCACGACATTCCGAATAAACGATACCACCATCGCATCGGCGCCACTGCAGCATGAGCAACATGATGACTGTTGATTGTTGCATAACATGAACTAGCGATGTTGTTCACTATCAGTGTACCTTCTGCAGTCAGTGGAGCAGCGTATCCCTGTTTCACAACATCTGTTATATTCGTGATTGTTTCACTCACCAGCACACCTTCATCATTCATGACATAGATGTTCATGCCAATGCGAAGATTCTTTGCCATGACATAGCTTTGGTCACTTGTTGGAAGAAGATGAGATGAAGTGAGTGATAGTTGTCGACCGGATAGAGTTGTGAGCTGCTTGAACAAGGCTGAAAGAGATGAGCATGACTGATAGATGAAGAATAGGGGAAAAGTAGTGACCTACCGAATCGGTGTGGTTGGAAATCGAGCATGGTGAGGAGAGGTGTGTGGATGAGTTGTTTAGTTTTATCGTCGTAGGCGAGAAGAGTGTCGCCTGATTGTAGTTGTGTAATGAACTTGTGTTGTCCATTGGCCAGAGTGACAAGAGAGTCGGCTGCAAAACAACGCTGTTCGTTTATTATCGAATCTATTTGATACACAAAAGAATGTGATGATAGATTGTTACTGAAAAGATTTCCGAAGCAAACCTCGAATAGGACATCGCGGACGGTTTCTATCTGGACAGCAGTTATCGGCCAAATCTCTAATTTCGTCAAGCGCTTTTCTACCAACCTATACAAGCATCTACACATAGTAATACAGTCAACTATCAAAATGTTCAATTACTTCTGCTGCGACACAATCACCCAATTCCCGTCTTGCACATATAGCAATATCAGACGCAATCGAACAAATTATTTTCAAATCTATAAAAAACGATGGGCAAAAGTTCAACATGACATTTCACTTACCTTTCGTTACTGCTCCATAAAGACCCGATGTTATGTAACGTAGACACTCAATCACAGCTTTAGGATTTTGACTCATTGGACAGTCCGCCTGTGTTGTGGCGGTAAACACAGCAAGTATGAACATAAGCTTCCAAAACATCTAAGAAAATATACATCTAATTTTGTGCCAAGTGACTTTTCTCAACTACTTCCTCACCATCATAAATGTTAGTAGCAAAGCTAAATCTCGCACTGAATATGTTCCAACGACCAATGAATAAAAACAAATGTGATTTGACTTTTTTTATACAATCATATTTATATAAATATATCGGATGTTATATTTTAATCAATTATAAAAACGAATCAAGTTACAAATCCTTGTTTTCTCATCTCACTGCTGACAAGAAGACGTATCCGATTTTTTGTTTCTCTTCAGTGGATGACAACAAATCGATATCGAAAACTCGATCGGATTTCTGTATGACAAAGAGAAAAAATGCTGTATCTATGCAAATAACATGTAGGTGGTGAAGTTTTCTTCTGACTAATGCTATTTGACTTCATCGTCAGTCAGAGATCAAATAGTTTTCGTCATGTTCGTCCATTGTTATATTAGTAGTTAGACCGACATTTGAACATAGAAAGTGTTTTAGTTCGTATTGAAAAAAAAACTAAATATTCTCGTTTACAAAAATCAATCAACGGCAATTTTCCATAAATGCGTCTATTGTGAAGATAGAAGTAAAATATCAAAAATAAACCTAAACGAAAAAAACAATTAAAGCTTCGACAACTTTTCTCCTTGACATTTATTCAACCTTTTGAACATTTTTATCAAAGTGTGTGATCGATTGTTGGGAGGCACGATAGTGTAAGTAAAGAATGCCGATGCTGAATAATGCCGACAGTAGGAAGATGCAATCGAACCATCGATGATAGAAATTGAATTGTAAATCACCTAACACTTGGGTTATGATTTGCCGATATTGTTCTGGCATGTTCATTCGAATCAGAAGTACGGAAGATATGAAATACATACCCTAAAAGACATCAATCGATCGTATGAAATCCGTTTTTCAGTTTACTAAAATTTCTTTACCATGAGCAGGGCAAGACATAGGACAATAACATTAGATGAACGACTACTTGATATGGTGTAGAAAAACTAGAAGATCAAAACGGAAATGATGAGAGAGAAATGAACGAATTTGTTGGTTAACCTTGGTTAATGTGATCAGTAAACCACGAATACTTGTCACAACAATGATACCGATCAGTATAAATGAGACATATTGAGACCAAAATTGGACATCAAATTGTAGATTGAAATAATGCACTGTTAATTCAATACCTCGTGTCACTGGATCGACTAAATTTGGAAAAAATTCATTTAATTTTTTTGTCGAAACCGAAATACGCTCGACTGACCTTTTCCTACTCGATTGAAAACGATATTAATGAACGAAATTAGGATCTTCCAAACGCAATATAATGAAAAGAAATGCCCTAAGACATGAAAGTATTTGCCTTTCAATGTCTTTGAATATCCGATTCGTTGTTGAATTCCTTGTAGATCCACTAGATCAGTATACAATTCGGAGGAGATGACTTCATATGTGGCAATCTCTTGTTTAATCAACGAGAGATTGTAGGACATGTTTGAATTCGATTGTGATGTAAAACTTAAGTTTAACGCTCGACGAAACGGGTTCCATCGATTGTTCATTGAATTGAACGACGAATTATAGGTTGATTTTAAAGAATTTTCATATTCGATATAAGCCACACGTTTCTTTTTCGTAGCGACGATTTCCATGACTTGTTTTAAACGCTTTTGAGCATCACTGATATCCTTATCAGTAACAGGCTACAAAATATCAATGGCACTTACATTCAACAAGCACTCCAATCTCAACAACTCTCATTTTGTTTATCCAATGGCACAAAGGTATTTCCTCCGCAGGTGTACATCATCTGATTAACAGAAATATCCCTCCTCACATAGACATTGGCAGACTGATTTCGAAAATACTTTAACCAAACATTCTTTCACACTTACTCGAATAAAATATGTCATGTATGTGTAAGGACAATTGACAGCTAAAAAAAAGAAAATGAAGTATGGTCTTTGATTGACATGGAATCTTTCGTTTACCACCAAATCCACTTAGAATCGCCATAGCGGTAACACCTATGATACCCACTCGACTGATACACTGTTCAATACTGAAGAATTCATGTCGATTAGAGATCGGAAATGGATTGCCTAGTTTCCAGAACATATACAAATAAAAACACCACGCAATTAATGTAAAAAATATGACCAGACGAAAGTCTCGAACTACAAGACAAAAAATAAATAAATACGAAATTTCTTCATAAAAAAAATCTACGAACCGAGTTTAACCGAATTCAATAATAGATAAGCGATATAGAATGGAATGAGGAATACAAGTAAGAAGAGCATACAGTAAAGACCAATACGCCAATGAAGATATCGAGATCTAATCGGAAAGCATTTATTAGGGTAATCAAGATAAAATTTTAACATACGTAGGTTGGAGGAAAGCAAGAATTTCAAAGATGATCAATTCAAACATTGTACAACTCAGTGCAAATGTTAAGGCAAATGATAGAATGACTACACGATTTCGTACATCATAGTTTCGACATAAACCACGAACGAAAAACAACCAACCACCAACGAAAAAGACAATCTAAAGAAAATCAATTGCTTATCGAAATAAATATCTAAATTCGTGTAGCATACTTGAGAAATTGTCACAACAATTGTGTCCGTTAACAGAGACATGAGTATATTTGCTCTGACCAATTGGTCAATTGATATAGAAGAACATGTACACGTAGACTTAATTGAGCACCATGTAAACTATTGCGAGAGCTGCAAGTATATAGAGAAAAAAAGTAATTTCGCCGATTAGAATCATTAGGAGATCAAAAAGAAAGAGGAGAGGAGTGGTTTACAAGAAAGAATGATAAATTTCTAGCAACAGACGATAGCCACGTGAAAGAAAGAGAACGAAAGAATCAATTGGATTCGTCTTCCATAAACATCAAATGAGTTCGTTGACAAAAGCCTCATTAGGTGTTCTGAAAAATTTCCAACAAATATCTTGTTTTTATTGTATCTGATCGATAAATTCAACTGTAGAAATTCAGATAAAAAGTCAAATTGATAGAGGGCGCTAGTTGTGATGAAAGGGATGAAGAATGTTATCAAATGGTCAAATATCTACCGACTCGTATGTCACAGCGGCGTCAAAATTTCCACTCAGGATGGGCTCACTATAGAAAGCGTACTTTTTTATGGTATAAATGTTGGTTTCCTGTAGAAATTTTTCAAAACCAGGGTGAGCTCGGCCCATCCTTCACGCCTCCACTACTCATATGTAAATTAATTAATGGAGGAAAGCGAATTGCACTTAAGAAGGTGTACTAATCGATTTTGCATTAACTCGCTCTGTTTGAGTACTTTGATGACGATATACGAAGATCAATTTGATTGAAATCAATATGATTCGATAAATGCTAATTCAATTCCATCAAGATATCTTTTTTTTCATCAACCGAGTGCATTTCTATGCGATCATTTTAATCAGCAAATCGTGTTTTTCTACTACGAAAAGGAAAATATTCACGACCTATTTACTCAAGCCTAATGAACAAATTCACCTTATTTGTTAACGATCATTTATTTCTCTTACATCATAATGCGTTAATTGATTTCGTATAAACAAAGTAAAATAGCGTTCAGAATTGTTGACATCCCATTAAAATATTAAAATATTCTTTTCATCGACACTTGTCACTTTAGAAGTGTTTCATTTTCTATTTCATTGACTTGGAGTCTAATAATAGAATTTTCTTCTTGAAATCTTCGAATGATATAATCATGTGCGATTGAATAACTAGATGGGAACATTTTTGCATATTTCTCGAACTTGAATCTTCATATCCTTGTACACATTGTTAGAAGGCGTGTAGACCCATTTGACAAGATGAATGCTAATGTAACAAGATGAATTATAGGCATGTAAATAATCAGAAGCGAACTCATCTGTTTCTCATTAATTCATTAGATTCATGTTTCTATACATATCTGTCGTCATTTATAACTTGTACGAGAATTTAAGCACGTACACGACTATCGATAAATGTTTACAAGAAGAAAAGTCGATGACTTGTTTTTCTTCATTTATGGAAATGATGTTTATCTGACTGTCTGTTATGTTAAACAAACAAGCATTTGATGCTATCTAGTGAAGAATACGATTTAACATGAACAATAACGATAATGAATGATCTCGCTGTCGTAATGAGCTGAATAGGAGATACTCGACAGATTTCCTGTTCATTGTCTCTCACCTGTCATAGAACGAAGCCAGGAGAGACAAGAAAAAGATCAATCAATCGTATACATTGACTTCAAATGCAATGTTCCGATGTTTTACACGTCCGGAAATGTTGTCTGTCGTGCTTATTTGTCTCTTGCTTCTTTTATCGTTAAATATTTGTTCAAATGACATACATACACATGTCCTAGTCACCCTGCAATGACAATTTAGTCATGCTGGAAATCCCAATGGAATCTTAATCATCGAACCTTCGATGAATGTCGAGATAAAATTCAAGCGAGTTCCATCGTGTTCCGTTCTCTTCATCAAACAAGGACAGACAGAAGGGAATGAACAAATAAAGAAAATTTAATTTAGACATTGTAAGCATGTCAGATCTCATTTATCATATTTTCTGACCAAATCTACTTGTATTACCTTTTCCCTGGTGAATCAAATCTTTCAATGATGGTCAACACCTTCGTCCTTTTTCCCTTTCTTTTTTTTGTTCACGATACAAACAATGAACTTATTAAGTCTTCTTTTTATCTCTCTGGGCGCCTATTTAGAAAATGTAACAAAGAAACACAGAGAGAGAGAGAGAGCGGCAGAAAAAAGAGAGAAAAAGTGACATCGCTTTACTATACAATAGGAGAGAACTGCATTGACAAGATTTCCGAGTGTGAATTCTTCATAAAAAGTCATATCCTCCCTCTCGAACATTTACTCGTAATGACGACATGGTCATAGTAGTTGTCGCACTTACTTACTTATTCACTTATTTTGTATAGCCTATTCTCTAGACATTGATGTTTTTCAAAGATATCAATTCATATTCACATGTGTATCGACACTTGATGCTTTC